ATTCATAACAATCGATCATGTTTTGATATATGGTAAAATGTATTTCATTCCTATTTCAGAAATTTCATTTACACTTTGTTTTTATTAATATTCACATCGTTAAGTTTCTGTAAAAGAGTACATCCCTTTTTATTTCTAAACCTACACAATAGCATTATCTTATATTTATGATAATTGCTCAGTTTTTAATATGACATCATATGTAATTCGTTCCTACTTCAGAAATTTCATTTAAACTTTGTTTTTATTATTACACACATCGTTAAGTTTCTGTAAGAATTTACAACCCTTTTTTAGTTTCTAAACTACACAAAAGCAATATCTTACATTTATGATAATCGATCAGGTTCTGATATAACGTAAAATGTAATTCATTCCTATTTCAGAAATTTCACGTCACCTTTGTTTTTATTATTACTCACATAGTTAAGTTTCTGTAAAAGCGTACATCCCTTTTTATTTCTAAACCTACACAATAGCAATATCTTATATTTTTGATAATTGATCAGTTTTTAATATGACTTCATATGTATTCCATTCCTCTTTCAGAAATTTCATGTAAACTTTATTTTTATTATTACTCACATCGTTAAGTTTCTGTAAAAGTTTACATTCCTCTTTATTTTTAAAACTACACAAAAGCAATATTCCTTTTTCATTCCATTCCTAATAAATAATATTTCATTCATTCCTATTTCAGAAATTTCATCTAAACTTTGTTAATATTATTAGTCACATCGTTAAGTTTCTGTAAAAGTTTACATACTTTCTTATTTCTAAAACTACACAATAGCAATTTCTTATATTTATGATAATTGCTCAGTTTTTAATATGACATCATATGTAATTCGTTCCTACTTCAGAAATTTCATTTAAACTTTGTTTTTATTATTACTCACATCGTTAAGTTTCTGTAAGAACTTACAATCCTTTTTTAGTTTCTAGACTACACAAAAGCAATATCTTACATTTATGATAATCGATCAGGTTCTGATATAACGTAAAATGTAATTCATTCCTATTTCAGAAATTTCACTTCACCTTTGTTTTTATTATTACTCACATCGTTAAGTTTCTGTAAAAGTTTACATTCCTCTTTATTTTTAAAACTACACAAAAGCAATATTCCTTTTTCATTCCATTCCTAATAAATAATATTTCATTCATTCCTATTTCAGAAATTTCATCTAAACTTTGTTAATATTATTAGTCACATCGTTAAGTTTCTGTAAAAGTTTACATCCTTTCTTATTTCTAAACCTACACAATAGCAATATCTTATATTTTTGATAATTGATCAGTTTTTAATATGACTTCATATGTATTTCATTCCTCTTTCAGAAATTTCATGTAAACTTTATTTTTATTATTACTTACATCCTTAAGTTTCTGTAAAAGTTCACAATCCTTTTTATTTTTAAAACTACACAAAAGCAATATTCCTATTTCATTCCATTCCTAATAAATAATATTTCATTCATTCCTATTTCAGAAATTTCATGTAAACTTTATTTTTATTATTACTCACATCGTTAGGTTTCTGTAAAACCTTACATCCCTTTTTATTTCTAAAACTCCACAATAGCAATATCTCACATTCATAACAATCGATCATGTTTTGATATAAAGTAAAATGTATTTCATTCCTATTTCAGAAATTTCATTTAAACTTTGTTTGTATTATTACTCACATCGTTAAGTTTCTGTAAAAGAGTACATCCCTTTTTATTTCTAAACCTACACAATAGCATTATCTTATATTTAGGGTAATTGCTCAGTTTTTAATATGACATCATATGTATTTCATTCCTCTTTCAGAAATTTCATGTAAACTTTATTTTTATTATTACTTACATCCTTAAGTTTCTGTAAAAGTTCACAATCCTTTTTATTTTGAAAACTACACAAAAGCGATATTCCTATTTCATTCCATTCCTAATAAATAATATTTCATTCATTCCTATTTCAGAAATTTCATGTAAACTTTATTTTTATTATTACTCACATCGTTACGTTTCTGTAAAACCTTACATCCCTTTTTATTTCTAAAACTCCACAATAGCAATATCTTACATTCATAACAATCGATCATGTTTTGATATATGGTAAAATGTATTTCATTCCTATTTCAGAAATTTCATTTACACTTTGTTTTTATTAATATTCACATCGCTAAGTTTCTGTAAAAGAGTACATCCCTTTTTATTTCTAAACCTACACAATAGCATTATCTTATATTTATGATAATTGCTCAGTTTTTAATATGACATCATATGTAATTCGTTCCTACTTCAGAAATTTCATTTAAACTTTGTTTTTATTATTACACACATCGTTAAGTTTCTGTAAGAATTTACAACCCTTTTTTAGTTTCTAAACTACACAAAAGCAATATCTTACACATATGATAATCGATCAGGTTCTGATATAACGTAAAATGTAATTCATTCCTATTTCAGAAATTTCACGTCAACTTTGTTTTATTATTACTCACATAGTTAAAATTCTGTAAAAGCGTACATCCCTTTTTATTTCTAAAACTCCACAATAGCAATATCTTACATTCATAACAATCGATCATGTTTTGATATATGGTAAAATGTACTTCATTCCTATTTCAGAAATTTCATTTAAACTTTGTTTGTATTATTACTCACATCGTTAAGTTTCTGTAAAAGCGTACATCCCTTTTTATTTCTAAACCTGCACAATAGCAATATCTTATATTTTTGATAATTGATCAGTTTTTAATATGACTTCATATGTATTTCATTCCTCTTTCAG